GCCCGAAACCTGTCTGCGATTGCTAGTTTCTCCTGATTTGGGTGCGATGCTCCGAGCCGATTTCTCAAAGTATGGGATGAAGTTCCACACCGTTTTCCCGGCCCACGGCGATGGAGAGAATTCGCTCTCTCACACGCAGAACAAGAGGAGACCGAACCCCAACGCCAAGAAGCCGGCGGAGCCGCAAAGACAGGGGAACATCCAGTTCTCCTCCAGTCCTCCTCAATTTCCCCTCTGTTCCCCAACCTCCATTCCCCGCCTCCGCACGCGCTAGAAATCTCCCACCTATCATAACGTTTCAACAACCCCAGACAACAACAGGGATCTGGCTCTTACTCCACACGCCATCCGGACCATTCCTAAACACACATTACGCGCACCAATGGAAGAGGCCATGTTGATGCTCTGAAAGTGAGCTTGGTCCGCAGCTGCGCCAATGGCAGTACATAAGACTCTTACCCCAACTCTCCCCCAATTCTCAGTATTTCTTGGCTACGCCTCTCTTCTTGGCCTCTTCTTGTTTCCTCTTGGCTTGTAAATCACTCTTGGCGTTCCCTTGGCTTCTACTTGGCCCAGCACAACCGCTCAAGACTCCAAGATGTCAACGGGTGTCACTGACGACGGGCACAACGTCCCCCGCGTCAACAGCAGCAGCGAAGATGCTCGCATTGACGAGAAGCACGATGCCGGCCACGGCGCGCACCACGTCGACGTTGCCAATTCCAAAGTCCTGGCCGACAACGACCTCATGAACGATGCCTTTGATGGCGAAAACCAGGAGCACCAGCAGGGCCTTTGGGAGGCTGTCAAGACCCACCCCAAAGCTTGTTTCTGGGCCTTCATCATGTGCTTCACTATCGTAAGTCCTCTGACATGACTCGCCACGCGACATCCGCGCTGGGCAATTACTGACGGATCTCGTACAGGTCATGGAGTCCTTCGACATGTTCTTGAACGGCAATTTCGTCGCGCAGGCGGCCTTCCAGAAGAGATACGGTGTGCAGGTTGCTGATGGCTATGCTATTGAGACGAAGTGGCAGAGTGCTCTCTTCCAGGCTGGTCAATGTGGTGCTTTTGTCGGTGTATTCTTGGCTGGCCCCGTTGTCAACAAGTTCGGCTACCGATGGACCACCATCTTTGCACTGATCCTCATGAACGCCACCATCTTCATCTCTTTCTTCGTAAGTCGCGCAACAACTATGTTCATCCCGTTCCGTTGCCTAACAGCATGCTATCTAGGCCCAATCACTCGAGGTCCTTACCGTTGGACAGGCATTGGAGGGTATCCCTTGGGGATTCTTCATTGCCATTGGTCCCGCCTACGCATCCGAGATCGTTCCTCTCGCCCTTCGAGGTGCCTGCACTGCTACTCTGCAGATGTCCTGGTCCATTGGCTCCATCGTCGTTGCTGGCGCTACTCTTGGCTACAACAAGCGTGATGATGAATGGGCTTGGCGTGCGCCTCTCGCCCTGCAGTGGATCTTCCCTGTAAGCCGCCCAGCCCGTCCGCCGTTGATCTACCGAAGCTGACATTACTTTCATGCAGACTCCCCTCATGGTCATCCTCTTTTTCGCTCCTGAATCACCATGGTGGCTCATCCGCCGCGGCCGCAAGGACGAGGCACTTCGCTCCATCAAGCGCCTTGGTCCTTCTAATGCTACTATTCAGCAGAACCAGCAGAAATATGCTATGATCGAGCGTACCGTCGAGATTGAGTCTCAATTGGGCGGCTCTCCCACCCTTCTCGACTTGTTCAAGGGCGTCGACCTCAGACGTACCACCATCACTTGCTTGATGTACGCCTCGCAGAACTTCGCCGGTAACCTGATTGCCAACCAAGCTACTTTCTTCTTTGAGCAAGCTGGCATGGGCCACGACCGCGCCTTCGACCTGAACCTTATCAACTCTTGCTTGCAGTTCATCGCCAACGTTCTCTCGTGGCCGCTGACTGCTTGGTTCGGTCGCCGCACCATCTACCTCTGGGGTACCGCCACCAACGTTACCCTCCTGATCGTCCTCGGCATCTGCGCTTCTATCGAGCAAACGAGCGCTACCAATTATGCTCAGGCCGTCTTGGGTATCTTGATCTCCTTCGTCTTCGCTGGTACTCTTGGCCCCATCTCCTATACCATCATTGCCGAGACCTCCGCTGTCCGTCTTCGTGCGCTGTCTACTGCCGTCGGTCGCGCAGCCTACTACGTTGCCGAGATCCCCATGATTTACCTGGCTTCTCAGCTCCTGAACCCTACCGGATGGAACGTCGCTGGAAAATGCGGCTACGTCTGGGGTGGAACTGCCATCGTCTGCTGGGTCCTGGCATACTTCGGCCTTCCTGAGCTCAAGCACCGTTCTTACCGCGAGACTGATATCCTGTTCAACCGCAAGATCTCTGCCAGGAAGTTCAAGTCTACCGTTATCAGTGTTACTGATAACGAGTAATACATCAAAGTTTTCGATTATCCTAAGAAAGGCATCATATAGACCCTGTATAATTCGCATCTAGACACTAAACAAATACTCCTTAAATACCAATAGAAATAATCTAGACCTAATCCTCCTTGGCGAGTCGATACATCAATGTCCCATGACCCAAGCTGTCGTAACCGCCTGAGTTTGGGCTGTAGTCGCCACCACCGCCCTCAACCTGGGCGCTGATGTTGCGGTTGACGAATTCCCGATACTCTAGTGACCAGGATGCATTCATACCCTTCAACTCTGCATAGTGTGAATACAGAGCTTCATATCCTGGCCGGATGTCGAAACGAGCCTTTTCTGCGACAACCTCCAACACCCCTTCCCAACTTGTGTAGGGAGTATACGGCACGGAGTGATTAGTGTTGTACTTGGCCACATATTCAGCCCTTTTTGATGAGAAGATCAGCCGAATCCATCATTTGCTGTTTAATAAGTTGGAGATCACTTACGCGTTCAAGATCTGGTGGCCGTACGTCGAGTACAAGTCCACGCCTTGATTCCAACCCTGCTGACCAATAACGCCAAGCAGTGAGATACACAAGAGAGCATGGGCTTGGTCACGACCTGACTCTTGCATCTGCATCAAGGTCTTGCCTGAGTCCTCCTCGGTGAAGTTTGCGATTGAGAAGTAAGGAAGTGCACCATTGGCAACGACCTCGGGTTGCCCGGGTAAACCGTTCTTGAAGTAGTTGACGGCATAATCGTACATCGTCCGATTTTCGGTAAAAATGCCAATCGACATCAGAGACGCGATGTTGCAAAGATCCCAGTTGGCATAGTAAAAGTTTGGTTTGTTGTAGTGGTGCTCGAGAAAGTCGTGGTTGTACTTCGCAAAGATGTTGCTGAGCATATCGCCAAAGGCATCCTGGCTGGTCTTAGGCCAGCCCGAGTATGTGCGCAGTAGTTCTGCGGCATTCGCGAACTGGTACCCGTACAAGCCCGCGGCAAGATACTTGTCCTCGGTACCGTTGATGTCGGTCAGGGTCGAACTCCAACCGTCTAAAATATCCCTAGCGTGGTCGGCATAAGAGACGTTGCCCCCGATGTGCCAGCGTAGAGCTAGCTGATATGCTGAATGAGCGTCGCGATATGCGTATCCGTAGTTGGCCTTTGGCTCGGTGAACGTCGCGTTTGATCCTCGAACGAGAACAGTCTGGGGTGTCGGAACCCATGTCGTTTGAGCGAGCTTTGAAGATTCGAGGTGTTGCCAAGCACGGTACCAGGGTTGATCCTGGGCTTGAACATGCTTCTTGATTCGGTTGAAGTCCTTGGCGCTGTGTAGTGCTCCAGGATGGACAAACCCGACGGATCCCGGATTTGGTCCAGCAGCTGGAGAGGCCCAACAGACAAAGCTTTGGCAAACAGCCGTAACGAAAAGAAGATTATTGACCTTCATGATTGAACCGGCCGGGTGGGGAAAGATCTCTATCTCTGGAAAACGAATCAAATCAGACTTGACGTTTCTTGCGTGACATTCAATAGCCGACTGAAGCCTTTTAACCTCTCTCTTCATGGCCGTATTTGATTCGAGGCCTGTATGAGGCCTGGAAATCTGCGCACTCCTCCGCCATTTACTCCACGTTTCCCCGCTATCACTCCGGGGCCAAGAAAGCGGTTCTACCCGCAATGTCACAATTCCCGAGAGCTGGCACGGAGGAGGCCGAGCATTCCCCCGATCATCCGGCGGCCCCGCTCATTTCCCGAGGAGTAATGAGCAGTACCCCTCTGACACCAGGAACACTTTTCAACATGTAAGAGCTGGGTCCAATTTCACATCCATGGATAGGTAGGTAGAATGTCCCCTCCTTATTGCAACTGCAACCCCCGCGTGTTCATTCATTCCGGAACGCCTTAGCTGGTCTTGCTATCAGACAAATCATTAATGATCCAATAAGAGGCCATGTGAATGAATCATGGTGTCTCATATCCTGGCGAGGCTACAACATGACACACAATCAGCTCACGTGATGCTGTACCACCCCTATTCCTCCTTTTGGGGTATGAATCGCTGCGGACATACATAGAAGTATTCATGAATAATGCAGTTCTCGGATATGATCGTACCTCTAAACACTTTCTCTCACTGAAGCATCGTACTCTCGATCAGATATTTCACATTTTCAAGATGGCATGGGAATTGTTCGGAGGCGGATGGGATTCATCTGCATTGGCTAGCTAATGGCTTTCTCAGGTGTCTATGGGGTCTAACGTCAGGTGCAGCCCGTCTGGGATATCCCTCCCTGACGTCACCGGAATTAAGATACTATCGATCGAAGCATATGAAGAGCGCAATTATACATACGTTCCGTGGATATTCGGAGCAGGCCTGCCGGGCTCTAAGCCCATCCCAGATCTGAATTTCTGTAACGTCACCGTCATATACACGCACCCCGGCTGGCACGATACCATCAAGTTGAACACCTTACTTCCTACCAATGATTGGAACGGCAGGCTCACGGGAGTCAGTGGAGGCAATCTCGCCACCGGGGTTGGAGAGGTAGCAGGGTTCTTGATGATGCCAATCATGGCGTCAGAACATGCAACCGCTACCAACGACGGCGGGCACTCGTCAGACGTTCTTGGCCCCGAGGCCAACGATCCTTCATAGGCCCTGGATAGCCCCGGAAATGTCAACTGGTCTCTTCACATGGACTTCGTCTCGGTCGCACTGCACGATACAGCAACCATACGCAAAGCCGTCACCAAAGCGTTCTACGGCACGTCACCAAAACATTCATACTTCTTTGGCAGCTCTACAGGTGGTAGACAAGATCATATGCTCGCACAAAGGTACCCACAGGACTACGATGGAATTATTGCTCTGTTCCCCGCCACAAACTGGGTAAAGGTCTTCTGGGCTAGCTACTGGCCGAAGTTTGTCATGGATAAAACGGGCGTGTACCCCAAGCCATGCGAGTTTAAGGACATAACAGCTGCAGTCATCTCTGCTTGTGATAAGCTTCATGGGGTGGAAGACGGCATCATCTCCCGACTTGATCTCTGCAAATTCGATCCTCACGAAGTCGTGGGCAACATCGCTGACTGCGACGGCACCGAGGTTGCTGTATCTTCTGCGGCTGCGGACATTACTCAGGCAACATGAGATGGACCTCGAAGCTCTGCGGGCGAGTTTCAGTGGTGCGGGTACGGGAAGGGAGCCGACTTGACGCAAGAAATCACCGGGCCTAGTCAAGTCAAATGCACTGAGGACTCCTGCGAAGCTAAGGGCAACCCTGTCTGGGTACGTTGTTGGGTCAAGAAGGACCCGTCCTTTGATATCAGCAAAATAACACACCAAGAGTGGGGTGACCTTGTACACGCCTCCATCAACGAATTCGACTCCATCATTGGAACCTCAGACCCTGATCTATCAGCATTCAAAGGAAAGGGCAACAGAATGATCAACTGACACGGAACTGTGGACGCTGCCATCCCGTTCAATGGGAGCACTAACCACTATGATCGTGCGTTGGCCAAAGATCCAGAGGCTCAGGATTATTATCGGTTCTTCGTGGCTCCGGGTGCTGGACACTGTTTCAACTGCGGACCAAGCCCGCCATTCTCCATGGATCCAATCATTCACTGGGTAGAAGATGGTGTGGCCCTAGACACGCTGCGAGCCTCTGGAGCAAATGGCCTCGGCATTCATGTGGAGAGAGATATCTGCATGTACCCCGGTATCCAACATTATTTAAGGGGCGATCCAAATGTCGCATCATCGTTTAGATGTGTGTAGGTCATTGCCTCATGGATTGGGAACAGCTGGCTTGGAAGATCTATTCTAGATATTGAGACTAGCCGATGGATGAGAAAACATACTTTGTGGCAAACTGTAATGTGTAATCCTCGAGGTCCATTCTAAGACGTCAAATTCTCAAACGATAAACCTTTGACATGCTCATTGGCAAAAACAGGAACCAAGTCGGCGACCATGTACCACCTGGGCTTCTCCATACCCTCATGGATTTCTCGACCCTCGATTCTGAGGCCCTGAAATTTGATGTTCTCTATCTGCCGCTGTTGATTGTAACCCAGAATCTGTGAAGGGTTGACAATTTTGGAGTGTTTCATGTCGAGTGACACGTTCTTGAAGACAACATCACGGATTCCACTTCCTGGCGCCGTTGTCCACATCGCGTTTTGCATAACACGGAGATTGAACAATTGACCCTTCGTGATCCGCTCAACTCTGACATTTTCTATGTGGATATCATGAAAGAGGTTCTCATCAGCCGCGTTGATGGCGATGCACCCTTGATACCACAGCTGGTTCTCCTCGTGATCCAAGATATCGATGTTGCTTATGCGAATGTTGCTGGTCGTCTCTGGTTTGGCAGGATTCCCGTGCGTACCCATATTGATGGCGTGCGCAATCTCTGGCAGTAGCACACAGTTTCGGATCGTAATGTTTTTCGAGTCGCCGTACCAGTCCCATCGATGGGAATAGAGAGCAATGGTGTCGTCTGAGTTCCGCAGGAAGCAGTTTTCAATTATGATGTTTGATGAGCAGAAGAAGTCGATTCCATCGCCGTTTCCAGCAAAAGAAAATGACCGGTAGCCGTCAACGCGAACACCGTCACATTCTCCGGCCGACAGACTGAAGCCGTTGGCCCCGATTGATGTGACCTTTTCCACCAGGATGTTGTTTGCGTTGCTCATGTGAATCGCCCCGCCAAGCTCCCTATGGACGTATCCGTCTTTCGGGCCGAGAATGAAGCCATGGCCTTTGACAGCACTGTTGGAAACGCCGACGAAGTTGAGTCTGCAGGTGATGAATGCACCGCCAGCGAGATAGACGGTCTTGCCTGACGGCACCATCAAGTTGACTCCGTCAGTGATATTTGAGTAAGCGGTCCCTTGATTGATCCCGGGCCCGAAGTACCAAATATCATCGGTATCTTGCGTCGGCGCGTTTGCGTCAATCTCGTTGGTAAGCAAGTGCAAAGCCTTCCACTTGTTTTTGTTGATCTCAAGCATAACATCGCGAGACTCGTTGAGTGTGAATGTGATCTCTCCCTCATGAACTTGAGTATCGATGCCGAGAGAAACCGGGCGAATGATTGCCTCTTTAACGGGGCAAGCCGTGTATGTTACTTTGATATCGACAGGACCGCTGATATCAAATGAGGCTAAGGCCACTGTATGTCTGTTGAAGTCGTTTCGTGTGATGTTGGCGTTGGCGACCTCAATGGCGTATGCTGGCACGCGAGTCCATTGCTGCTTCTCAGTGCTGCCAGGCGATATGGGACGGACTTCCACCACGAACTCGTCGTGAATGGATACGCCTGACGGGCTGTCATAGACCCTGAAAGCTGAGCGCGAAGCCATCCCCAATTGTTGAGGTGTTGTGAGGAAAGCCGAAAGGGTAAGAAAAACTAGGCATTCGAGTTCTTGTGTTCCTAATAAGCGTCGCGTGTCAGAGCAAAGGTTTTCGGTTCTGAAGTCAACAGAAACTCATATGGACGATCGAGATGTGTAGTCTCATTGCAACTGACGGAGTAAAATGCGGAGCGCCCCGCTCTAGGCCAAGGAGCCATTACGGGATTATCACCGAAGCTGATGTGTGCCGAGGCCAGGCACAGCGTGGGCTGACGGGATCGGGACAATTACCGGAGCATTCCCGAGCGCATCGTCAACATTTGACAAACCAGACAGGCTTTTCATATCGGGACTAACGTAGGAGTCAAGAAAAATGATTTGATCTGCAAGCAGAAGTCATCGCCGGATATTCTCAAATACCAATTCTGCTTGTGGAACCCGCAACCTGGGAAACACCAGACAAAAGAAACTTACTTAAAGGCGACACCAAGTTCCATCCTGAAAGTCTTCTTTGTAACCTGCCGGACTGCAATCGGAATCAACCTTAGGCCATGTCTTCCTCCTTGCCAACGATCTCATTTCTTCCGGCGAATTCTACAACACATTAGCTTCGTCGTCAACTTCTCCGGAAGGCGTTTCACTGACGGTCAACAGTGGTATACTTGAACTTTCTTGCGGGAATCTTGTTTTCGAAGAGAATATCAAGTTCACCAAACGGTCGGTCTTTTGTTTCCGGGAGACGGAAATAACACCACGTGTTGCAAACGAGATTAGTTCCAGCGTAAAACAAACCAGCCTTCGCTCCCCAGTTCCATCCTGATATCGATTAGCTGAAGACTCTGGGGCTTTTTTGACGACTGTTTGACTTACCAATCGGCGAGATCATTCGAGGGGTGAGGGTGTGTTCCACAATGCCTGTAACATTGTAGACGAAGCGACCGATCACGATGGTTTTGTAACGGAGTCTCCCGGACGGGGTTTCCGCAACGATAGGGTAGCAGACAGGTCCGACCGTGACCATATTGACCAGAGTTGAGACAACCAGAATGACGCCAATCGCAATCTGAGCTTTTGCATCCTTCGTGAATCCGAGTCCTCCGATCACAATGTTGCAGAAAAATAGGAATGTCAAACCACTCATGTAGAGCGTTGCACGTCCAACATGAGGAAACAGAAACCAGCAGATAATGCCACCGATAACGTAGCATGCAGACAATGAGATGTTCAAGTTGAGAGACTGTATCTCCGAAAAGCCTGCGGCTTGGAGGAAGGTCACTCCATAAGCTACTAGAGCATTGCCCCCTAGGATTTGGGCAGCCCAGACGACGCAGTTCTCCAGGAGAATCTATGTCAGAATTATAACACCGATATCAGGGTATTTAGTATAAACTCACAATCTCAGTCCGCCACAGATTGGTTCCTTTGAAACACTCAATGAACGAGGCGCCGTGAGTCTCGGCCTCCTCGAGTGCTGTCGTGTGTCTGATGTATGCCAGCGAAGCATCGACTTCAGCTTCGCGTTCCGTGGTGTCTTCTCGAAGACGAACAAGACTTTTCCGAGCTGTGTCGAATTTGCCACGCCTCACAGCGTTCCACGGAGACTCGGGTGCAAAGTAAGCTCCAATGAAAAGAGGGACGGGCCATACCCACTGAAGAAGGAATGGGAGCCGCCAGCCCATATCGCCGTCGATGCTAGCGACTGCTCGGACAACTCCAGCTGATAGTAAGATACCGGCGCCCCAACACATGCAGACGTAGGCTGTGACATACGGCCGAAGTACGGTTGGGACGACCTCACAAGCGTATGTTGTACTTAGTGTCTGGAGCCCGAAGATTAGTAATGAGTATCAGCGGTAAGAAAACACGATTCAAATACCTGAAAAACACCCCACGAGACACCGCACATGGCTTCGCCCCAGGCCAGCACGGGTAAGGATGGCGCGAAGCAAGGAATTGATATCATCACTGCCATCCATGCCATGAAAAACATCATTGTGTGTCTCGCCCCGAATCTGTCTTGACACCAGGCATTCACAACCAGGCCTGCGAGCTGCCCAACCAGTGCCGAGTTCGAAAGTCCGGATTGCCACTCAGGAGGGATGAGCTTCTCGCCGCTTCCCTCATCATACACACCAAAGCGATTCTTGAATTGTGTCTGTCCATAGAAGGAAGTGATCTATTTGTCATATGTCAGCCGAGTGCGAAACAACTAGTGCAAAGACCTTGGGGGGTCCCACAATGACAAGGTCGTATCCTTCCATAATAAGACTGGTAGACAAGAACAAGGCCCAGAAAACTGCCTTCTTGTACTTGACTAGAGCCTGACGGACGGTGAGCTTGCGATCGGCGGCATCTCCCTCTTGGGCACGATTAATAAGCTCGACAGTGTGGGCATCATTGAGATCGAATTGCTCAAGTTCCCTCGCAGTCGGGACAACCTTTTCAACGGCCATGTTCAGTTGCGACGGTTTGCAAGTCAGATTACTTGAAGAAGGAAATTTGCAAGCGAGAAGATAAAGAGTCAGATGAGGATTCGTGGCCACGAATTGACTCTTATTTCAAAGTTCGACACACCAACTGATCATCTACCAACGGCTAAAACCACCTGCATACAAGCTCTTTCATTCACTGTAATACGCTCCCCCATACCGGTAGATCCGGGGTAGCGGATCATCCCTGGTCGTCATTTGCGGGGAAGAATGAAACGGGATACGAGGAGCGCCCTGTCCTTGAGAACTACACGTGGTCGGAACACCATGCCATGTAAGGCAGCCCATTCCAAGCGGCCCAATAGGATAGATCCCCGCGATCAACTTCATCAGGCAAGAGACTCCCAGTTTGATCAGCACATGACATCAGCTTGGCTCGAGCAAATACTGGTCGAAAGGCGCCGCTGCCTGCGAAAGAGGCAATCACCCACCTCGAGTCAGGCCGGAGATCGAACCAAGATTAACAGCGGGACGGATGTGAGATACGGTGCCTTCTTAGGAACAACTTACGTCCAACGTGTTTTCTGAATAACAAGTGGCATTGATGCTATTCACCTGGGACCATCATCCGACACGGCGACCCAACCGACCCCGCACCGGGTGCCATGCCCGAGGCCGCATCGGCCGGACGCCCCGCCCGCCCGGTCATCATGGATTGAAAGTAGCCAGCCAGCTGTGTTACCGAGAAGCCAGGCTCGATGCTTCCCCGGTTTAGGAAGCCCAATGATTGCCCACACCGGCCAATCAGCATTTTTGCAATGGCTAGAGCATCGTAAAGTTAAACGCGAACGTTGCATTTCGACAAAGCTGTACTGGTTAATATTCATTCTGGACGTAGTGTTTAGTGCTGAAAATCACAAAGCGAGAGACATGCGAGAGAGAGACGAAAAGGTCTTTTCAACGTGGCCTACTTCATCTTCGTTCAAATCAACATGTAAATTCCGCCGAGAATCGGCCTCCATTGAAGCTGGCCTCATTTATCTCAATCACCGGTCTCGTGTATTCTGTCTTAAATCGCCACAATTTCATTAGTGTGCTTTGCCCGTTCTACGCATCTTGGAAAAAGCCGAGTTAGCATCCTCCAACAAGACACGAGGATCGTCGAATTCAATGATGTTCCCCTCGTCCATGACAGCAACCCGATCGAAGCCAACAATTGTTTCGAGTCTGTGCGCAATAGCAATGATGGTGCATCCCCTGAATTCTTCCTGCAAAACGCCCCATATGAGCTGCTCCGTCTCTAGGTCCAAGCTGTTGTTGGCGAATCGAGTTAGCCTTGAAATCAGGAATCGCAGGCTACAAGAAAGCTAATTGTAGTCTCTATTCTCAATACTCACCTGCTGGTGACTTCGTCCAGAACGACGATCCTGCAACGCCTCAGGATGGCTCTTGCGAGAGATAGCAGCTGCTTTTGCCCCTGACTGAGTGACTCAGGCTTCACACTACCTCCGAGGCCTCCATGGTCTTGCACGTGTTCGATTAGCTTTATCTTGCGGAGGGCTTCTTCAATTGCATGATCTGGCGATGCTCCATAAGGATCAAGAACCTCGCGGAATGTTCCACCGGTGACGAAGGGATCTTGCGGAATGGCGTTGATGCTTGATCGAAGGGTCGATAAGGAATAATCCTTGATGTCGTTTGTATCGATGATAATCTTCCCTCGTCGAACATCCAGCAATCGGAAGAGAGATGCAACCAATGATGACTTTCCGCTGTAGATTTGTTAACTCGAGGCCTGGCCTTTTCGACAGGTACTTGCACGGTATCACTCACCTTCCACTCCGGCCGCATATGCCGACTTTCTGCCCTGCCTCGATTACCAAGTTGACATTTTTGAGTGCGAGGTTCTCATTACTCAGGCTGGCAGACTCGGTCAGCATTCAGAATCAAGGTTAGCATGAGGCTTCTACTTACCCATACGACACTGTCAGGTTCTTGTACTCAATCCTGCCTGAATCTGGTTCGCGAATGATGACTCCATCCGAGTTTGAGTCATTCTCTCTTGGTGTCGTCTGCTCAAACTCCTTGATTCGTGCAACTGCAGTAATTGATGTCTCCATAAGCGTCCACCCAATCACAACCGATCGCAACATCTGACTAAGAGACATCAGATTGACCAGAGCAACTGCAGTGAGCCCAAGGCTTGATCGAAGCTTCAGACTAAGGGTCACGAGAAGCGTGACTATGACCACGACCACCATGTTTAAAACCAATGAAAGCCATTGCTGAATCATCTGAAGCAGGTAATTGGGACGCTGGGATGCATCGAGAAGCTGCTGGTTGCGTTCGACGTAATGCTGAGACCATCCAAAAGCTCGGACTGTGGTGATGCCTCGTAAGGTATCTAAGAAATGTGTACTACGGGGAAGTGGTGTCAGAGATTTCGTCGTGCCATGTCCAGACACAAAATAAGCCTCACTTACTACAGAGGGCTTTTGAGTTCAAGATCGAGGGGCCGAAGTTGCTGTGATGTTCGAAGATAGAACCGTTGAATACCGTAAAAGACCAACACCAGGAGCGGGTATGAAATCGCCAGCCACGGACTTGCGGTGGCGACCAAAGCGACTTGGGCTAAGGCGATGAATGTTGTTGCTACCGTGTTGAGCAGAGCAGCCGGCAGTTCGCCATCGACCGACTGAAGATCCTGAGAGAATCGATTGATGATGGTCCCTGAGTCTTTGGTGCTGGGGTAAGAAAATGATGCTGACATGACCGTTGACAGAAGGCTGTTGTGCAGCTTCTTTCCCGACCTAGACACTACCGTCGTCAGGCAATGGCGAGTGAAGAGAAACCAACAGATAAGACCAGTGGCCTGAAGTAAGGCATAGATGCCAAGATAGAAACTGTCTCTGGCTGTAGGATCCGTAGTCCACCAGTTCAACCAAACAGAGGGAAACGTGTATAGTGTTCCGAATACTCCACCGAGGAATATTAGTAACGCCGTGTTCGGGCTTCCCACAGCTCGGGCGAAGTAGCCGTAAGTTGCCCAATCACTGGGTGTCTTAGACGCTTGTTTCTGTGGGGCTGGAGTTGCAGTGCTCTGATCACGTTCGGTGTATGTAGTGCCAGGAGAATCTGCAGTATCTGAAATATTGTCTTCTTTTCGTTCATCCATCGGGTGATACTTGGGCTGTTCTCTGCGGCCGGGGTGGCTGGAAACAGGAGGCTCGCCAGGTGCAAGGTCCACCACCAAGTCTGCAGCAAGACACATATCCTGATCAGAGCAAGCCAAGATCGCAGTCATCTCTAAGTGGCGCAACAGCCCGCCAGGGCTCAAAAGTCGCTCATAGATGTAGGCCTTGGTCACGTTGTCCATCCCGCTGAAGACGTCGTCCAGAATGATAAGGGGCGTTCTTGCGTAAACCGCTCGAGCGATTGCAACGCGCTGTTTCTGTCCTGTGCTCAGTGCATCTCCGTTGTTCCCAACGTAGGTGCGGTCTCCACTCGAAAGCCTTTCAAAGTCAGTCTCCAGGTCCACTGCCCTAACAACCGTCTTGTACCAAGCGTTGTCAACGACACTTCCCCCAATGATATTTTCGTAGATGGTCGTGTTGGTCAGGTATGGCGTTTGGTCACAGAATCCAATGCCCGCCCCAGAAGATATCTCGACGATACCTTTAACGTAAGGCACTTCACCAAGAAATGCGTTGCAAAGTGTCGATTTACCACTGGCAACTGGCCCGGTAATTACTGTCAGCTGAGACTTGGGTATGCTGATGTTGACGTTGTGAAGATCCCATTGATTTTCGCTCCAGCCGAAAGCGCCGTCATAGATGGACAGAACGTCTCCCGTTGTAGTGTTTCTTCCAACGATGTCCACTACAGCTGTAGACTTTTCTGCTCCCGAAGCATTATCTCGACGACCACCGCGCTCCCTCGTGACATCTGACTTTCCCTCTCTTCGGTCACGATGTGAAGGAGAGTGGATAAAGTCAATGATACGTTGAAGACAGTTGGCAGCCCCGGCAAACATCGGAACGTACTGGAAAAGACTTGAAAGTGGCTGAGTCAAAATGACTACCAACGACAGAGATGTAAAGGCTTTGGCAACGTCGAAGGTGTTGTCTCCACTACCATTCGGAGAAGCTGATAGATAGATGGCGAAGCACACAACTGGAACGATGAAGATGGGCGCAAAAGCTACCAAATGAGTTAGTAATAGGGCGGAGGTTCACGCTAGATAATTATGAGCCTACTAACCGATGCAAAAAGATAAGACCATGATCATCCTAAACCCGTTGGCAAATTGTAGCTCTTTAACACGAAGTGCGTCCAATACTTTTTCAGACTGTTCGCCTAACCCTATCATTTTGATGCTCTTGATCTGCGAAAGTACAGAGACTGTGCGGTCTACATTCGTCTTAGACATCATTCACAATTCATCACCCACAGAATATTACGAGAGCTTACTGATTCGCGCCTGGAGAGCTTCCATCCACCGATTCTGACGAGGCATTGTGAACTTGTTGACGCACAGAGTGACCAGAAAGCATGCTGTGAGAAGTTAGTAAGGTTTCTGTCAAAGTTCTCAAGACTTCAGGTTGCCCTGTTACTCAAGGACCGCCGCTTGCCGGGTAAAACTGGGCGCATACGCATATGCAAGACGCCATATCGCCAAGCCAAATAAACGGGGTATCAAACTCACGTTGGGCTGTTGGTGAGTGAGATATCTCCTTCTTTCATGAGAAGTTGCATCCTGCACCCTCTACGTGGACTTGAAAGAGGCACAGTCTGGCCAGAAGGGCCTGCATTTGTTTGGGGCAAGAGCACCTTCCCAACGGAGAAATCGCACGCCTGCGGAGTTCCAAGCCATTCACTTCTCGTCTTCCAACATACCAGTCCTGATTGCGTGTTCATGCGACTTGTTCTGCAAGCTGATACGTGCATACGGCACAGTCCTCGTCAAATCCGCCATCAAATTGAAAGCGGCTACCAGTAGCTTCCACTCTGGCTCGTCGACACATCCGACTTGCGGCCGCAGAGGCAAGCACACCAGCTTTGACTCAGATCGCAATGCTTCTTGAGTGCCACTAGGTCACCAAGACTGACAAAAGTTCCATCGGTGTGCTGTAAGACTTGGACCCATTTTCGATGAGACAATGGCGATGACCAGGGGAAGTTTAGAAACACGCCCTTGGCCAAATAACTCACCATAGGTTTGTACTTACTACATACTCTGTCAGCCGTCGACGATACCATGGAAACAGGAAGGGTGAATGAACGACTTGTGAGAAAAAGTAGTCGAAAAGCCGGAAGACCGAGAGGTTCGCGTCAGCGAAGAATTGAGCAGCAGGAGCTGAGGAGTACAAGTACAGCTGGAACGAGCTTCCTTGACCTGCTAGACTCTTTCATATCCTCACAGCCACTCTCAGTCTACTTACTCCGTTCTTCTCCGTCCCAAAACCTTTTCATTACATCCTATCATCTTTGGATTCGAGTACTCATTGTGCAAAATGCAATTCAAGACCCAATTCGCGATCCTCGCGGCTCTGGCCCCTGTTCTGCAAGCCCTGCCTGTTGATAATGGCGGTGCAGGTAAGTTAAATGATAAGCCATTCTGTAAACGCGCTAGACTAATTTTTGCAAACAATACAGCTGTGGCCCGAGAGGTCAACGACAAGCGTGCGCCGGATGACGCCGATGCCGCTTATGGCATCTTCTACGCCAACGGAGCTGGTATCAAGGCTAAGCGTGATGATGCCGATGCTGCGTATGGTATCTTCTACGCCAACGGTGCAGGCACCAAAACCAAGCGGGACGATGCCGACGCAGCCTACGGAATCTTCTACGCCAATGGTGCGGGAACCAAAGCCCGACGTGACGATGCTGACGCAGCCTATGGCATTTTCTATGCCAACAGCGGCGCGTCGAAGGTTAAGCGTGATGATGCTGACGCTGCGTACGGTATCTTTTATGCCAATGGAGCGGACTCCAAAGTCGAGCGCGAAGAGACCAACGTCAGCGCGTGAGTTGGTCTGGAACGTGCCTCTGCACTCACGTCAACCTTTCTGGTCTTGAGACATGCCACCAAGCTTCGGGTTTGCAATGGCAAGAAAGTCTTTGAATGATCTATGCGAGAACAATGGTATTGGATAGTGGATTAGTCATGACAAGAACGATGTTTCCGACAGACATGTTGACTAGCCACAATTTCCATTCATATGGTTGAGACTTGACAATCCCCCAATCCATGTAGTGAACGGAACAAGTTAAGAGTAATTCTCGCGCCAGTGACTTCATCCATCTATTATTCCGCAAAAGCCGAGACTGAAGGTGTCTTGCAAACTACTATACACTTCACGGATCATAGAACTTGGCCAAAAAGCACCTCAGCCCAGCTTCTCCTGGTCTTCCTAACCCACATGGAATCCGCTCACATCCTATAAGATCCGTCCACCTGGATTGATGAGAAATTACCAGTGTAGTCAGATAACAGTTCTTTCGAGAAATATGCTGCAGCCCACAAGGGCATTTTCTGAGAAGGACGCCAGGATCCCGGAGTCCTAGATGCTTTACAAAAGATCTGGGGTACTGAAGAGCTTCTTGTTTTATTCGGTTCTTCAACATTACTTTCCCCAGCCGGAAAGACAAGCCTTCTCGTGCTCCCTGGCCCCGTGTCAACTAAATTCCCCCGCCCCCCAAGTGTGGCAGGGGCATGTGCATGGCATTATCAGTCTCATTTCCGCTGGCCAGGAGGACGGGTCTTCTATTGTTGTTCCTAAGTTGCAAAAGGCTCTGGATGGGGTCTTCGATACGCAGACCGACCCAAAATCATGGAAGAAGGCAGACGTGCTTCCATTCACGAAGAAATATCACTCTGTGACTTCTCAGGTATTTCCCCTCTTACAGCAGCCAGAAAGGTTTGCCCGCAAGCAAAAAACATGCCACACAGAAGTATAAATGAAAAGTCAGAAGACCAAGCAAAAACCAGGCAGCCTTCAAAATAATCGAAATTTCTATCGGGCTAATAGCGAAAATTGTGGTTGAGCAGATTTAGAGAAAGCCGGGAGCATTCGCCGATGCTACATGTAAGTACTGTAGTCCCATCGCAATCGAAGAGATACTCTTGACATCAGTAATGTTGTGCAAATTAGGTACAGAGTTAGTGTCTCCAAAGTCTCTTTATTTGTGTACAAAGGTTGTCAAAGATCGACGCTTCTCTTCAACTTTGATCAAGCCACATAAACTTGTCATTTATTTTGAGCTTCATTTCTTGAACCAGCTCATATCATTTTCATATGTGCCGCATCGACGATTTTAAACTCCAGCCTCGCTGATGGTGGCCGTGGCGTGCCAGTATCAAAAAACGTCCGCCGCACGCCACAACGTTCTCACTTCCATACCAGAACCTTGGAGGCCCATGGAGGGACATGTCCATATCTGGCGCTCACGATTAAAATGTATTCTCGGATTTGCTATTCCTTCCCCCCAAATTCCTCATCAGTTCTAGCTTCCACCTGTGTTTCTTCTTTTCCCCCTCTGAGTGTCATGCGTATCATTCATCTGCTAGTCTGCCTCGTGGCTTTAGGGCTAGCCGATGCCCGCAAATGCAACGGCCACAAACATCTCTGCAATAGGAAATACTCAAACGTCACTTTCGTCGGTTCGCACAACGCCAACTTCATTGGCGATAGAATAACTCACAATCAGAATGTCCCTGTCACTCGACAGCTTGACATAGGCGTCCGATTTCTAACTATTCAAACACACTGGAAGGACGGCGAGATCAGAATGTGCCACTCCAAGTGTTGGCTTCTTGACGTGGGAAAGTTGGAGGACTTCTTGTTAGAGGTCAGCCGCTGGATGAAGAAACACCCAAACGAGGTGGTGACCTTACTGTTGACGAATCCGACTTCCATCCGCGGGAGAGACTTTGCCGCAGCCTTTCGGAAAGTCGGAATGGATAAAATTGCTTTCACGCCAAACAAGAAACTTACCGTCAATTCGTGGCCCACGCTCGGCCAGCTAATTGATAATAATAACAGACTTGTTGTCTTCATGGGTAGGTACAAATCATCAAGATCCCACATAACATTGGGGTATTTGTTTTTAAAGTGATAAACATGCTAACTTTAGCAGATTACCCCGAAAAGCCTAGGCGCGAGAAGTGGATTATGGACTGGTTCAGCTACTCCTGGGAGACACCATATGGCGAACTGGACAGCAACTTCCCTCACTGCAAGCGCGACCGGCCACAACGGGACATCGATGAATCAAAGTATATGTACCTGATCAACCATGTCTGGAACATAGCCATGGGTGCGAGGTTTGAGGGAGAGACTGTCAAGATTCCCACCAGACTCGCGGCAAATATTACCAACTCGATGGACTCAATCAGTCGACAAGTCAAGCTTTGCAAGGCGAAGTGGGGAAAGATACCCAACGTCATTCTGGTAAGTTAAGCTTCACCGGCCGTTCATTAAATCGTCTTCGTCACGGAAACTTGCGTCGACTCTGAGAGTGCTGATTGTTAATTGCAAAGCTCGACTTCATTGATGATGGGGACGCCATCAAGGCGCAAGATCATTTCAACTCTTGATTGGGCCGTCACCATGTGTTGAATATCTTTCTATTTCGATAGCAGTTCAATGTCGTTCATCAGGCAACATCCTTGGATCGTCTTAATATCCCGGTGATGCTCGCCAAGTTACACCCTCCTCGGCTGAGCATTTGACTCGCTAATTGCCCTACCAACATGTTGGCTTGACGCAGAATCCATCCACATCAACCCGCCTCACAATGTGAACGACCCCAATATAAAATAGCAACTCTAGATGTGCCGTTCCAACTGACCTCCAGCTTCTCACGATCAATTCTTGCGCATGGGCGATGAACCATGTCGCGAATGATGCGCAAATAACAGTAAACCACACTTTCCAAACTCGCGAGAAGTACCAGCAAGGTCCCATGTATATCTCGACAGTTACCCATGCTGCTATTCCCAGTCCCCAGACCACGGCTTTCCCAACGGTCAGGCGCCATCTGTTCATTTGATGTAAACTCATTCCCGTTCGTGCGTGAATTACTATAAGCCCGGTCCAGCTTTCCAGTATGTCTTTGATGTCATCGCGAGTATGAGGCGGCCAGAAGCGGTGGATATTGTATTGTGGGTCGCAGTAACCGTCAGGGGAGATGGTGGCCATCCCAACGGATAAGGCAGTTGGATAAATAGCGAAGGCGATAAGAGCCAGCCATTTTGTGACAGCTTCATCATTATGTATTTTTCTGGCAAGAGAGTCCTGCGGTGAAAGATGTACAACAGACCGGAGGCCTTCGGCAACGAGATGCTGCCCACCCCACGCGCTGAGGCAGAACCTGTAGATGATGGTAATGACTTCCCTTGACGTTGAAAACCACGGCCGCCACACTTTGAAGGCTCTCATCAATTTTTCTCTTACTTTGCATTCGAGCTGTATCTTTTCGGGGGGGACTGACCTCGGGGGCCCGGAGCAGTCGCAGAGGAGCGTCCAGGCGATCACGCCTCCGGCAAGGATTGCCAGGGAGATCGACCCCCACAGCACAACTCTCGTAGCATTGTGGAATCTGACACGAGGAAATGGCATATTTGAAGTCTGTCGCTGGCAGCGTATGAAGCTTGCGTATGCGGCGTGAACTGTCGGTTGAAGGGAGAGAGAAGCAGGTCAGGCCGCCGTAGGCCGGAGGGTCCGCAGCTCCACAACGGCGCACCGGTTGAGACAACAGTGTCGAGGTTGCGTCGGGTGTTTGTGTAGTCGGCCGGGTCTCGAGGTCGAAGGGGGTGTCGATTTCGCAATCCTAAATTGAGGAACTCTTCAGTCGTGCGTACAAATGGAGGGCGACTTATGTGGTGTGTTCTCCGTCTTCTGAACTGGATATGACGACAATTTAGCCGACGTGCATTTCAGCCCTGGAATGGTTGGCTGCGCCTACCATGCATGTAAGACGGCTCAATTTCACTGTTCGTCGGAGCATGCGCCACGAGTACCTTTATCTCAGGTTGCACTCATTCTCAAATACAAGTCCAAACTGTTAGAAATCCATTATTTGCTTTTAAATAGAACAGACACAAGGTGGAACAGACTTTTCCTGCGCTGCGTTGACAATGGCTGTACTGGTATCAACGAGACCCCTGCATCCCTCGCAAACATTTGCCCGGCTTTCGCGCACAATTTATTGCTCTCCACGGATCCGGTCAGCACGCAATACAACACTCTTTGTGTGTCCGAAAATGACAACGCCCGAGCAGAACTCCGTCCCGTGGTGACAGCCGACCAGGGCCCCCTGAGACTATCGAAGTTGTAGGTTGGTTCAATGCAACGACAGAATCCGAACCGACCTAAAACAGCGCGGGGACAACCATCCAGGGCCCTGCTGCCCGCCTTCAGTGATCTGTTATCCGGGGTTCGCTCACCTGAGCGTGCAGCTGTAGCAAACGAGGAAATCATCCTAGGACAACTGCCCATGTCATTCGCGCCATCATCGTGCATCACGAACAGTCTTATTCAATGCGAGTCACCCACCGTTGTATTCTACGATGTTTTCTTCTCAACGCTTCTCGCTTTTGTCCGCTACGAAGAGCGCGCCTCCGTCGGCGAAGCGATCATCAAGATGAAGCTGACGCAATGTCTTCTCTCCAGTCTCGTAGGACTCGCGGCTGCCCAAGATCGACTTTTCTCGTCAGCGTTTGGCTACCCCGGTCGGGATGCCAGCTATGACTACTTCGTCATCGGCGGCGGCACCGCAGGCCTCACGATAGCGTCCCGTCTCGCCGCAACATCCGCATCCGTCGCCGTCGTCGAGGCTGGCGGCTTCTACGAGGTTGAAAACGGTAACAATAGCGTTGTTCCTCTTCTCTCTCTCACCGGCATTGACTTCATCGATCCCACACCCGAATTCACCCCACAGCCTTTGATGGACTGGTCGCTCGTCTCGGAACCGATCCCCGGCGTGGGTGGCCGGAGGGTCCACTACGCACAAGGCAAAACTCTCGGCGGTTCGTCCGCGATCAACACAATGTCGTACATCCGTGGTACAAAGGGCTCGTACAGTCTCTGGGCCGAAACTGTCGGCGACGACTCGTTCAAATGGGAGAACATGCTGAAGTACTTCAAACGATCTGTCCATCTCACACCGCCGAATGAGGAGAAACGGCAGAATACCAACGCGACCGTTGTGTTTGATGCTTCTGATTACAGCGGGGACGGTGGACCTTTGCAAGTTTCGTGGAACAATTGGGTTGATCCGACTTTGACATGGCTTGCGAAAGTCATTTTGAGCCTTGGCTTGACAATTAGCCCAAAAGGTTTCAGCAGTGGCCAGCTTGTCGGTCACGGCGCTTGGGTTCCATCGACAATTGAGCCCGAGAAAGCCCACAGGTCAACCAGCGAGAGCACATTCTTACGGCAGGCAATCAAAGATACGGGCATTATTGTGTACACCCATACTCAAGCCACCAGAATTCTGTTTAACGGCACTCAAGCCACTGGGGCCAGCGTCAACTCACAAGGTGTTGACTACACCCTATCAGCGCGCAAGGAGGTCATTCTTTCCGCAGGGACGTTTCACTCTCCACAACTTCTCCAAGTATCGGGCATTGGCTCCCGGGAACACCTTGAGGCTTTATCGATTACAGTGGTAGCCGATGTCCCCGGAGTAGGACAGAACCTCCAAGATCCTATCCAGATCTTCGTCGCGTACCCTGTTAGCACGACCTCAGCGCAATCCCTGGCTGCGGATCCAACTTTAAACTCGATATTCATTGAAGAGTATCTCAGATCTGGAAGTGGGCCGTACAGCTCGGCTGCAGGCTTCTTGGCCCACGAGCGCCTCCCGAACTCAACGCTCGCCAAACTCTCGCAGGATGCACGCGATAAACTCGCGTCCGTTCCTTCAGATTGGCCGCAGCTGTCATTTATCGTGGGCTCTTTCTCTACAGGTCTAGGACAAACCAGCGGTACCCTCGCCGCGTACCTTCCCCTAGTCTTCTCCCGAGGCAATGTCACCATCTCATCGCCTTCAGTACTGAAGACCCCACCCAAAATCAACCTGAACTGGCTCTCTGATCCAGCAGATGTCGAGCTTGCCGTAACGGCCGTCAAGCGACTTCGCACAGCATGGGCTTCAGACTTCGCCAACACCCCAGGCTTTAAAGCTGGCCCAGAAGGACTTCCTGGAGACGCGGTGCAGACCGACGAAGAGATTTTGGAGTACGTCAAAGCCAATGTCGGCCAAGTGTGGCATCCTGTATCAACATGTGCCATGGGCAAGGAAGAGGACGTCCAGTCCGGCAAGGCAGTCGTTGACAGTCATGGGAGGGTATTTGGCGTTCAGGGGCTGAGGGTTGTGGATGCAAGCACCTTCCCTTTTGCAGTTCCTGGACACCCACAGTCTGCTGTGTATGCACTGGCCGAAAAGATTGCAGATGACATCATAGGCACTTTTTGAGGATATTCCAAAAGCCATAGTAACAGCGCAGATTTCCAGAAACGGTGCAACGGAAGGTCGAAAAAAGTCCAGTTTGAGTATACAATTTCAAACCGCAGTGAATGCAAGCTTCCTCGACAGTAACTGGTTTATGAAAAGTCCTCAACTTTCAATCGTAGTAGGAATTCAAGCCTTCACATATGCCGGTGCCCTAGTGATGCGCCTCGCAGCGCCTCCACAAGGGTAATCAAAGCAATTTTGACCCCCATACTTGTTAACTTGGCTCTTTTTTTTTTGTGTTTTTGATTACTTAGCTAACTTACAAATAAAACAAATCACTATATAAAATGACGTCATATAGACTACTTAATCGGGTAATTTTGAGGATATCTACAGCCTCATAAGCCCTCTTGTAGGCCCTCAGAGGGCTCTTTGGAGGGACCCTCAAGCCCCCCCCCCTAAGGGGGCCCCTCACGTATGCCCTCACGTATGCCTATAGGCTGGGCATACCTATAAGTGGGGCGATGGTCTATATAAGGCCTCCTATTGGCTAGAGTATAAGACATCAAATATTTCAATTCAATCGAGGGGTGTCGGATTGATCGATTGGGTAGTGGTGATTGCCTCACTTTGCTTGGTTAGGTTATTTGCGTTGTCAATTTACTTGCCCTTGTGGAGGCGCTGGCGCCTCGGTCAAATCAACATGGACTCGTGCTCAATAGGCTGAAGAAAGACTTGAGATGAACTTTAATAATATCACCACTGAGATAGAATGATTGCCTGTTATTCAAGGCTCTCTGACGATTCTTGCTTCTGCTTAAATAGTTCCTTCGCCTATGATCCTTGCCGCAATCTTCTCGGCCAGCGCGTAAACTGTACTCTGAGGGTGGCCAGGAGGCAGAATAGGAAAGCTGGATGCATCAACAACTCGCAAGCCCTGAACACCGAAAACCTTGGCCTCGTTATCAATAACCGCCATATCGTCGCTCCTTTTCCCCATCTTGCAGGTACCGGCAGCGTGCCACACAGTCATCAGACTATCCTGGATTACAGCCAAGATTTCCTCATCGGTAATCTTGTCCAGGCCTGGCCAGTATTCCTCGCCAATGACAATTTCTTGCACCACGTCTGTATTCC